AGTAGGTTAGTACTATTATAATAAAGGCGGAGGGGGTTACGCGATTTTAGTAATAGTAACTAAAGGAATAATAGTACGAGAGAGGCGAGGGATTGCTTTAGCGGTTTGGGAAATAGACTAACTATTATATATATATATTTTAATAATATTGGTTTAACTCCCGGAGGAAGAATTATTAATTTATTAAAACGTAAGAGAAAGGTAGGTTAAGGTAATTATAATTGTAGTTATATGTAGAGGATGTTAAATTAAAGGTTAATTTAAAAATATATTAATAGTTACCGACTATAATAAAAGACGCCCGTTCGGACTATTTTTATACTTATATAAATTCTATTCCGATATAGCTAATTATTATAGAGTTCCCGACTAGCGTGCCGCTACAATGCGGCGTTGGAGTGTCCCTTTCGTAACTTTATCTTGTTAAATATTTTAATATTCCCGAGTTCGAAGTTAATAAGGCGAGAGGAGGTATCGGTCGTCCTAATGCTTTTGGGTAAGAGTTTAGTAAAACGATAGAGAGCGTTGGTATTGTAGCGTTGTGGTGTTCCATCCCCGGCGGTCCCGAGTCTCCTTTTGTACCTATACCGGCCGGTTCCCGGTGCCCGAAGCGGTGGTCCCTTGGCATCCTGACAGTTACTTATACTTAAAATAATTTACTTTATTATATACTTATATAAAATCGAACTCAATACTATACTTATTATAAAGAACTTTAAGAATCGAATTATATACTACCTCCTTATAACCGCCTTAACTAATTAAACCATTATCGACTATATTATTTAATACTATAAATAATATTACTTCCTAGGCATCGGTCTACTACTACGACTTCCTCTTTTTCTTAATAACTATAGTCACTTAATTAATAATCTAACTAACTATCTAACTAGCCGTTTAATTAGTATTCTAATTAATATACTAACTAGCAATCTAACTAATAATTTAATTAAACTACATAAAAGGAAGGAGCTAGCCGGTATTATTCACTATCTTTAGTATAATAATAAGGGTATGGAGATAGGTGTAAAAGTGTACAATCTACTATTATATCGATCTATAGACTTATAAATACAAAATTTTAGAAATGTGGGATTCTTGTGCGCCAAACGGGGGTCTGAAATGCGGTTTTGAACAGGAACAGGGTAGACCTCAAAATCTCGGTATTTACCGTCAAAATCCGGTTTAGGAGGGTCTGTGCTGTTCCTCTGAAGAATACTTTAGAAAATCCACTTCAGAGCCGATTTTAGGGGAAACAAACACGCCCTAAGATTACAAGAGCTCTTTGAAAGACTATGGAGTAAAGGTTTTTTGGAGTTAAATGTATTATATTGTGCTTTTGCTGACTCTTTGGATTTTCTGCCAAGACTTTCCTTATTTCCCATCCCAACATAGATCATCATAGAAAGGATGGGGACATGAAAACCGGTGAGATTGATGAAACTTGACATTTCAATGGGTCAAATGAACCTTGACTGACAAGAGAGAGCTGTCTAAACCCCGGAAGCAACATGCCAACACTGAGAAGACCGAAAATTGTGACATTCGATAGATAAACTATGTTGAACGAGTGAGAGGACCTCAAGACAGACAAGTGACTGGACAAAAACGATCTTCTTTCCCCATGAAACTGCTATGACATAAGAAAAAAACAATCTTGTACTACGCTTAGTCTCTTATGATTGTCTGGGTAAGTCATCCTGATCATTGCTCCCGCTTGGACACTTGTCCCAATGACACCAGTACAAGATATCTGTGAGGAAAGAAGCCAACACAAGGCAGTGACTGACAAACTGACTAAGGTCCCTTCTCCCCATATGATTGGCTTCATATCATATAGCGATCTGCCTGTCGTCCCTGGGTTCACTTTCTCAGGATGGCTGTTGCGTACTACTTGGCTCATCAGTACATCTCGAGGAACTCCTGGTCTCAAGTGTCTACTAAACTCAAGCTTTCTTCTTCTTCTTTTTTTTTTTGTTTCATCTTTTTTTTTAAGGAGTGAGTGTTCACGTAGTGTCCAAGTCACCCTACCTTTGTAACTGGGACGACTAACAAGATACCTCACAATGATATTTCTAGCATCCGTAAGTAGCATCTTCAAGCGACTTGACAAAAGATAAGTCATCGAATACCGCACTCCAGTAGCCAGGCAACAAAAAGGGAAGATACGAGGCAGTGTCAGGCGCAACTGATCTACCTAAGCAACATACGACCATGGCCACTTTGTAATTCTCGGGGTCCTGCGTTAGGTGAGCCAATGACTGACTGCCAGGCCGGTGACTCAGCCTGCTAGTACTGCACGTTTCTTTCTCTTTCTCTTCTTGGTTCTTCTTTTCGCGACTACGGTGGGAAGTCGAAGGAAGGTACGACTCAGCTACCTGCAACCCATGTTTCAATAATTTGGAAGGTACGGATGTATTCTTTCGTGCTATGCTTCTGGCTGCCGCAAACGGGAAGGAGCATCCTTAATGTCAAGTGAATCTTTCATGTTTGAATGTTCATCCTACGGAATAACTCCAAGTGGAACTCCTTGCGGCTTGACGTCCGTTCGGGATAAGCCAGCGTAGGGTATAATGGGAAGAAAGTGTGAAGGCATCTGATGACGGCAAGAGACAAAAAAGGCGGAGTATTGGACTGCGAAGTCCTTACCAAAACAACAACAACGAACCTTGTCCTTGTCTGTGTCTCATGTATCCCTCCTTTCACCTTCCTCTTCGAGGGTACGAAGTATTACTCCTGTCAATCTCCCTCCACGATAAGCCCACGGACCATGACTGTTTCATTTGATTTTCTGGACATTATCGATCGGCCTTACCGGACATTATTCCCCGGATTATGTGTGGCCGCCTATTCTCCCCCCACGTTCTCTCAGCCAAAATGCGTTGCGTGCATATGATACACTCGCTTGCCTCAAAGATATCATGATCTTGGGATCGAGATTTATACAAACTCGAGAAGCATCTTGTGGTGCACATATTATCCTTGCCAAACTCTTACCGCAAGAGTATGAGACTTTTGTCAGTCAGCAACACACGATGGGGGCGCATGATGCCATGCTACTCAACATCGTGCCATAACCTTATGAAGTCTTATGTTTAGTACCAGGAAGCAAGTTGTTCCCCAAGCCGCTGTTGGCCGGTTCCCTTGTCAGCAAGGGCAGGCAGGGCAGCTCTTTGAGCTCCCGCTACTTCATGTTTGTGTTGTGAAAATTTTCCTCGAGCGGTCTCTTTAGTTCTGTCTTTCCTATTTGGGTGTTGGTAAGCACAGCATTGAACAATGGAGGGACTCTTCTCGGCTCTTGGAAGGAAGGTGTGTGTGTAGGTGGATACCTACTGAGAGTAGTATGTGACCCCGGACTTTTTTGTCCTGTGTTATACCCACGTGCTTCGTTGGGGTTGAGGACGTCTTGAGTGTCGTGGAGATGTTCCCACCGTTTTCATGAATGTAAACAATTGTGCAAGTTTACTGGAGCGTGATCACCTACTTGTTGTGGCCACGGTTTGAGGCTTATGGACGAGAAGTCAAAATTACCTTTCGCCACAAGTAGCACTGTGTGCTTCCTGTAGCTGCTACCACGCGAGCTTCTCGAAGCAATTTGTTGCTGAGGGCTGAGAACAATTAGCAATTGTAGTGTAAAGTCCGGAACCTCTATGGATTATGACGTTGCGCCAAAGATAAGCTTTTCTCCCCACGGAAATTCTTCTCGATGCTACACCACCATGCGTACCTGCCATTCGGTCAGTGCCTGAAAAGAAATAATGACACGACTTCTTTTACCCTTTGATCCGTTCAGTCGACTGATAAGGAATATAAGCTGCGCGTAATACGGCTACCAACGGTATGGATCGCTACTGTTAAATAGTTCCTCAACACACCGCACATGTAATCCCTTCTACTACTACCCTGGTCTAGTCTTCTTCTCCAGACAAACTGCCTTCTCAATTCGGATGCTGGATACAACAACAGCTTTCGATAAACTTTCCGACAGATGGGGTTGGTGGAGACATGGTCTGTCAATGTTACAGTACGTTTACCATGGCTGCGTTACATATCTGTGACCTGACTTTTTGTGGAAGCGCCAGGAGCGCCACAGCATCATGAGAAGAGCCGAGGCCTGCCACGCTACTACCTAAGCCCACTTTCGGCGCAAAGAACAATTCCAGAAGGTCGTTTGTCCGTTTTGACTTGGCTCGGAGAATCTGTAATTTACCGAGCGAAAGTCTTTCAGTGTCATTTACTAGGGATCTGGAGCCATCTCGTGCTTGTCCAACAGGAGTATTCTTTTTGAGTCCTTTTTCATCGAACGCCCTATCCTACTCGCTTGGTTCTCTGTGGCCGGGTCAATCAATGGGCAGGAGAGCCGAGCGTCGCTTGATATAAACACTCACATCTCAGAACATGTGCCTCTACAATCACACAGGTGTGTCTTCTTTGGGCTGCCTGTAGTGTGGCACGTCTGGTCAATGTAGAATAACTAGTGAACGCATTAGCCGGCCTCATCATCAATCTCACTTTTCAGAGCGCTTTGGGCTACAGGTCTGCCCAGGCCTAATGCACCCCGCATTCATGCCCACCACTTCAGCAAGAGGATGGTGGAGCCCTTCATGTTTGATGTCTTTTGAGTGGACGGGGGAGTCAAAGGGATGGGTGGGTGGTGTGAGGCTTCATCTCCCACGTGGATCGATCTTCTCTTGTTGGGGGTGCAACCCATCCAGTGGTAGGCCAGTAGGCTCAGGTTTCTCTTTGTGTTCGACCCTGTTGATAAGATTGACGAGACAATTGACATGCCTTCCACTTGGCTTTGCTAGATAACGACGAAGGTTTTTTTTTAAGTTATCTTGGTTGATGCCGATCACTTGTGTTAGCGTGGTGTAGGCGTGGGCGAGGAGAGTGGTTGGATGATATGCATAGTTGTAAATGGGAATTATCTCCGGAGTAGAAGGCATGTATCCCGGCGCCTGTCAGTGTTGAAGTGTCCGCGCCGTCTTCTACACTACATGCAATCCAGTCCTAGCTTATTGGTTAGTCTGGTACAGACTTCCCAAAGCTTTACTATTTTGGGGGATTTCAGCTTTCTATTGGGTATTGTACTGTTGAAGGTTAATCTTCCAGTCTTGAAGGCATTGGAGGAGATAGAATGAAGCAACAGAGGACAGTCGCGGTTTCTCTCTTAAAAGGCCAACAAGAGCTCCAAAACTTCCCTATGCAACCTGATCAAGGTACCAAATTAACAAACAACAAACAACAAACACATCAATACTGGATTGTACTCTACTGCTGGCACTTACTACGTTATCGCAGTACCGCCGATTTACAGAATATAACTTGTTGGCAGCAGACATACCCAGCATCTTGTGAAGGAAAATAAAGTTTTCGCCATTTGCGATTTCACCGCGCTAACGAACAGAATGCTTGCAGAGGTGTATTATTCACCCTTGGTATGTAGTGTATGTGTTATTGGGGGTGGGGCATCAAAGAACCGGCATTCATGGCGGCGTGTGGGGTGCAGGATTGCCAGTGTTATCGCCTTTGTTGTGTCGTTCGTTGACGGTAATATCCCGGAGTCCAGGACTGCGCAGCGCCGAGAAACCTCACCGCATCTACGGACCCATCATTTCGGGGAATTCTTTTGAGAAGTTGGCGGCTGGGGACGGAGGAGACTCGACCGATGCCGTGTTGTCCGGATGGCCGCATGTCCGCATGTTATGGACCCCGAGAATGGTGTCGGGATTCGGTAGTGATGCATGATTGGGGAAATCTTCGAGAACATCCAGGGTCCCCGAATCTCGGGGCAAGTTTGAGAGATTTTCGAGCCTCGGCGGCCAATTTGGCGCTCTGGGCGAGGGAAAAAAAAAAAAAGATAGAAAGAAGCCATACGAGGTCCACCCAACTTGTGTCATGGAGAACAGCGCAAATTTTGACGTGCATTTTGTTTCACGGCAGCGACAGATGAAGGCTACGGGTTAGTCCCGGAAGGGCTAGACCATCGAGAAAGTACGTGTATACTTCCCGAAAACGGCTGATATCAGATTCATGTGTAATTGGGCTGCTAGACAAACAGCCATCCACGAGGCTGGTGTCTGACTGTCTGCAAAACTCCCAAGGCTCAGCTGGGCCTTTCTGCGATGTGTCGATTCCCAGACCCGTGGTGCGCAACCCCAACAGTTTGCGCAGCCGCCGGATCCGAAGGCTGGGCTGGGGGCAGCGAGCTTCTCCAAACTTGCGCGCTCGACGGTGGTCGGAATTCTCAATCCGCCAATTCGTCGGCTGAGCTGCCGGACGAACCCACTTGGTCAGTCGCTCCGCTTTTTGCAGTGATCCGCTCTTGTCTCGGTCCTCCACAATGTTCGAACCCCGAGTTTGGAAGCGGCACAAATTCGATTCGTTGCGAAAAGGGGAATGTGCGCCCACTTGCCGCGGTTCAACGACGACTCTTCATTTTGCTGTAAAGTCAAAGGTGTTTGTAGGTACCAGGCATCGATGAAGCTGAGCTAAGACAGATTTCGATGAAGCGCGATATCAAAGTAAAGAGTCTGTCTCACCTGCTGCGCATTGTCATACCGATGCAGGACACACGACAAGGTGTGTTCGCCCGAATGACAAGAACGACAAGAGGCGGAACCCCCACAACGAGCGATACCTGCTGGACGGGCCAAGACAGGCTTGTAGAGGTATTCTCGCACAAGCCCGCCCGCCGCCAAGTACCCTTTGATAGAGCTTCAAGTCGTATTAGGCAGGCCGGAGCCCTCCGAGGAATTTATAGTCGATGAAGAAAGATATCGATGGCTTCCTGGAAGACGACCTACCTCAATGGCCTTTGCTTGGAGAGACTGACGAAAGACTGGCCCAAAGTAATAACTTCATGATGGCACTCTGGAGGTTATAAGACATACATTTACTCCCTTATCAATTGGCAATGATCTGTCGCAGTGCGATCGGTAGATACCCATGTAGTACATGCTAAGATGCTTGGCTGATGTCTTCCAGGCTTATCATGTCTTCTTTTTGCCATTTTTGGGCCTTGGGGGTCTGTACCACGAGACCACGAAGCGGGAGCTGGGAAGTCACAAAGCTGGGCGGCGACTGGACGTGTTACACCTCTCTAGCTCATGTGGAAGGGAGCAAGATAGTTGTCCGACACCATGACAGGCCAGCCATGTCCTCCCCCCGATGTGTCTTATCAGCTGGTGTCCACCATCATGAATCGCCGACAAAGTTTATGTATCAAGGTCACGGCGTCCTTGTACATATGAAAGTCGATCTGGATTTTCGTCCGTGTCTGTGTGGATGCAACTTTCGAAACTTGGCCGGCCTTTATTTGTTCTCGACATAGGTTGCAGGCAGATATTCAATACGACACGCTGACTGATCACCAAGACCGACACTGCACCCGACCCAATTACTACCCCCTGCCAAAGCAGTACAGGTTCACAGAGCACGATAGGGTAGCGACAAGCCACACCTCAGCCAAGCCAGGGACTGGTTGGGCATTCGCTTGGATAACTGGAAACGAGATCACGCTGCAGCAAGACTATCTGAGTACTTCTCGTGAGACCTTGATACCCAGCACCCGGTGTGGTCTTCCAGGTGACGCCAACGAGCTGCGCCAGGCAGGCAGAACCGAGATAAGTGTAAGAGGCGAGCACTCCCATCCAACTTGGGATTGATAAGAGATCCCACGGACTGGCACGTCACGCTCACTCGACCTTCGGCCTCTTGCACCGATCTCACCTCCCGTCTGCAACTCTTACCTGTCAACAACACCATCTTTTCGACTCATCCTTATTTCCTACGAACCGTTTGCAATTCCTGAAACTGGGGGTAATTTCCGAACCCAATCGATCTCGAGAAAAAAAAAGGGTCCCGAATCGGTGGATCCCGTTAGAAGCCACCCCGTCGTGGAACCTTCCAATCCGGACGCACTTTTACGTACTCGATTGAACCCTCCGGCGTCGTCTGGCCCCCCTGCAACGGCAGCAACAGCACCGACAAACACGCGAGCCCGGCACGCACCTAATTTCCATCCAATCTGGTGTTCAATCTGTTGAGTTTCCCACTGAGAGAAGCCTCGCCAGGGCTCCAGCGCTCCAAATCGCCTCAAATCCCAGCGCCTCGGGTTGGCTGAGAGTATACGGGCGTGTGGCCCGAGAGCTTCCCGCCCGCCTTCTGTGGTACTTCTGTCAGGTTCCTGTTCCCACCGGGCAGTGACACACACACACCCGCCATTGGCTGCCACTCCATGTTAAGGCAAAGCTTGCGTCTGACGCCCACCTTCCCGTCCTTACAGGTATTAATGAAGCGCGCCTGCGCCGATACCTCAGTTCTTCATCATGATCACTGCCTCTTCGTTTCTTATCTCGCGCCAGCGGCAACCTCAACGTCATTCCTCCCAACCCAAGCAGGAACTCGACAAACAAACAACAAAACCTCCACATATGCATCTTCGCCCACCACTCTCGAAACTCGACCACTTCACAATTGATCCAATTGTGACAACTCCTATCAAGACATCGGCACCATCTCCTTCTTGGCACCCAGAAGCAGGATCTCTTCGTGTTAAGGATGCCCAGGAAACATCACGCAGATACGTTAACACCGACAACAACACTACGAAACCTGTTATTGAAATGCCTTCTACCGCTTCCTACGTCCAGGCAATGCCCTCAAGCCCTGTTCAGATTCCCGTGAGGCCGAGGTCGCGCGACGCTGCCCACCAGCAGAAGCAGCGTCGCCACCATGTTGACCGGAAACATCACTCGTCGCCCCGTCCTAGGGATGTGCACTCCCCCGATGCTATTCCACCCTCGGTGGCCGCCCTACTTGCCATGACGAGCATCCCAAAACCAAGGGCTGCCCGAAGCGCTCGTCAGGCCAAGACTCTTCGGGAGAGGAGGATGACAGTTGATGCCATCATTGCCCAGTCACACGAGTCTGAGAAGGAATTCAGTCTTTCATTGGGTAACAAAGGCCCTTTGGACCTGCTTTTGACACCACCTGAGCTCTTGGAGGACGATGATTCTTCCTCTATCAGCGATAGCAACATTGGGTCTTTACTCTCGTCCAGGACTCTCTCTTCAGACTCGACGCCATCGCTCAGCGATTCTTTCGACACCGATACGCTTTCGTCAATGGAAACATCCCCTGCACCGCACAGGAGACGCAAGATCCACCCAACCAGACGGTCTTTGAAGCCCGTATTATCCCCCACGGGAGAGCTGGAGGGCCACCCATTATCATCTCCCGAAATTGTGGATGACGAGCTGGATTTCCGCGTTTTTGAGGACAAGCGCGAAGAGGTGGAGGAAAAGAAGCACTCCAGGCTCGGTTTCAGACCCTTCAAGTCGGTATTCAAGTCGAACCTTACTGCGTCATTGCGTGCGCTTCGTCAAGCTGCCAAGTCCTTTTCGACGCTCAACTTCCCGTCCATTCCCCCAGAGGACTTCCTTACCCGATCGATCTTGACACTCGACCCACAAGTCCCCTTTACCGATGAACGCAGGCCTCCGCTGCTCGAAGAGGAGCCGACGGCCGCTCTGCGTCGCTACCTTAACCCGACTACGACGGTCCGGCTGGAGCAGCCTCACTCTGCCACCCAAGCGCCGACTACCAAAGTGTTCACGGCGTCTATTCAGATGCAAACGTATAGGGTCCAGCGAGCCCGGGGCTCCCCTGCTTCCTCCGGCCGGGTCCCTTGCCCATCTGTCGGTCTCTCATCCACGCCGCAAGCGCAGCAACCTTCCAGCGCCAAATCAGAGTATCCTATGCCTGGGCCAAGACAGCGCGAGATGCGCGAGAACTCTGATTTCATCCGCATTGCGGTTATGGAGATGGCTATGCGGAAATGTGGCAAACTTGATGATCAGAAGCCAGGCCGAGCTCGGTGGGCGCTTCCTCCCCGTAAGACGAGCACGAAGCCGTATGTGGTTGGAGCTGACGGGGTGCCTGCTCGATGGGTCGCCGTCACTTACACGTGCTAGCGACATAGCTGGCGCATCTTGAAGATCCACCAGCACCAGACCCCGACGCATAAAACATGTCTGGCTCGAACGGGAACCAATACTCTCCGCATTTGGTCCTAAGGAGCTAAGAGCAACTTTTTACGTCACATTTCGCCGAACCCCTTCGTCCCGACTGACAAAGTCTTACTGCCATGCGCGTTTTTGCAGCGTGTCGGCCATTTATGTCCGGCACCTAGTAGGGGTATGGTCATTGCTCGATATCCACCAGCTCACAGCGAAATTGGCGGGCACTATTTACCGCAAGTGAAGTTGGATAGAAATTCTCCCCACTGGTTGCTCGAGTTTTTCTTTTCGGTGTCAAGAATTCGATCGGCCGCCGCCGCTCTGGGATGGCAGACAAGCCCCCCGTTCACTATGCGTGGGAGTGGGTCCGTCAACTCCCGCTTTTTTGCTGTTACCAAGATGGTTCGATGCTCTTCGAGATGCACTCGATTGAACTGCCGGAGGAATTAAAAACTGCATGCGAACAGATCGATTGTTTGTTGCTCATCGCCCGCGGAAATTCAGCCCAATGTCCTCCGATGAGCCACCACGCGACAGCAGCCTGATCAAAGTCTTCTCGAGCCTTCGGGATTTTCGGCTTTAGGGGTTTGTTCGTTGGTCGAGAACATTGGTGCGGCAACCTGGAACACAATGTGGCCTTCGGCATTATTACCCCTTCAGGTGTCGGTCATACTTTTGCCGGAAAACCCACCGTGTACATCTCTTTATTTTTTTTCTTCTCATCTTGTGTTCTTCAGCATTGCATCGTTACATACCCATCTCCTTTCCATTGTTACACAATGCCCCTCCCGCCTTTTTGGATATGGCGAAAGGGGACAGCACATCATCATCATTATCATCAGCGTTATTCTAGCATATTGTTATTACCTGGCATGGCATGTGGAGAGGCGTTTCGGAATTTGGTTATTGGATTTTGGTTGGTGGTTGGTTCCAATTGTCTTGGACACGTCGAGAAATGAAATACCATCTTCGCATACATGTGGGTATTTTACCTTTGAGAGGGTCGTGAAGAGAGCACACAAGTAGATATATATCTATATTACCATATATATCCAACCATTCAATGTTTCTTTGTTATCGAATTGTCGCGATATCGTATCGACTACTTTTTGTTTTCTTCCGTAGCAACTGAGATCATCATTTGTCCTCAGTTCAGGGTAGCTGTCCAACCTACCCCATTTTGTCAGGTACATTAACAAGCTCCCGTTCCTTGCGATGTACGGTGGCAAAAAATGATGTTATTCCCCAATCTGCGTCCTTCGTGGGACGACCCGTGCAACAATCCCTTCCTCCCTCCCGACGATCCGTATCGGCATTTGTTCCTTTATCGGTCGGGGTACATTTGCCTCTGGTGTCATTCCGGCTGCCTTCTGATTCATTATTGCTTTTGATATTATGGAATGAATTGCTTGGTTGGAAATATTCTTGCGCACACTTGCACGACAGCGGGAGGATTGGATGTGCCAACTGCCAGATTAGGTTACGATCTTCGGCCATCAGTTACAAAAAAAAAAAAGCACTTCAGTCGCACACCTCACCTCTCCTATGCTTACGATACATCCATCTAGCTGCTCTGTCTCTCTCCAGCCAAAGGAGTCATTCAGTCATTCAGTTAGTCAGAAAAAAAGTACATGAAATTGGATTGTACTCTGCATTGGTTGTTTATCACATGCCGTTATCGAATGAATCAGGGTGAAGTGGAATGAATGGAACGAACGGATTCAAAGAAATGATCCATGTAGTGTATGTACCACCTGCTTTACCTACTATCACCAGTGGCACAAATATGATGTACCTGAAAGCCCATTATTCCGATGGTCTGGTTTCTGGGCGGGGGACACTGAATGGTGCTACTGCTACGGTTACCGTTTTGTACAACGAACGGCGAGAAGGAAAAGGATTACGAATAGAGGCTGCGCTGTACCGCTACGGGAATAAATGACATTGATTGGTAGGTAGGTACTTTGTGCTCGCAACCCAACGACGTGGAAGCAGGAAGAGAAAAGATAATACTGTAGGCACTATCTAGGTAGAATAGAGGACAGTCATCGAAAAAGGTTTCGTTTCTGAGAGGTCACTACAACAGTGGAAGCAATGTACCAGGTATATACCTCGCTCGCACGAAACAAGCAGTATATAGGTTACCTTGGATTCTCTGCCCGATTGGAACATGCGGCAGGGTGAACTGATTGATAGGTATCTCGCGCCTTGAAATGTTGTGGTTGACGAAAAAAAAAAAAAAAAAAAAAAAGGGCAGCGCGGAGAGAAAGAGAGGGAGTGCAATATCTACTTCTTACACAAGTCATCACCATCCGACACGTCGATGGGGGATGAATGGCATATCGAGTTCTATTACCTAGACCGTTTTGAATCCAATTACACAGCCGTGCACATTCAACCCCGGTGTAAAAAGGCAGTGAAGACCAAAAATATATGAAATATTCAAACATCAGGCTTTTTGATAACAACAGGAAACCGAACCCTATATACAAAAGTTACTACAAAGGCGCCTGGGCATGCTCTCCTTTTTTCTTGCCTCTCTATAAAACGTGGACGGGCGGCTGGGGTGGCGGCAGAATCCCAACCCGTCTTCTTCTGCTTCCCGGTAGGTATAACAGCTTATTTCGAACCAAACAACCAACCCTAAGAGGGATATCATCTCATCACATCTACTCCTCATCTCCACTCTCCTCCTCCTGGGCCGCAGAAGCAGCAGCAGTCTTCTTCTTCTCAGCCGCCGTCCTCGCCCACTCCTGTGCCTTGGCGCTGACTCTCTCCCTGCTCTTCTTATCACCGTTCTTCTCCTCCCACTGGGCCCACCTCCTGAACCAAGCCTTGGCCTGGCGGGGCTTGAGGCCCTTGACCTTGCTACCGCGATCAAACAGGTCGCGGATAACGCCCTTGTCGGCGTCGGCCGCCGAGGTCTCGAGGTCGATGAGCTGGTTCCACAGGTCGAACTTCTTGGGGTAGGTGGCCAGCAGGTTCTCGAAGAGGGTGCGGCCCTGCTCCTTGTCGCCGTTGGGCGAGCGGAACTCAAGCGCGGCGAACTTGGGCAGAAGGGCGAGGTACATGTGCGTCTCCTTGCCGAGCACCTGGGTGGCGCGCTTGAGGAGGGCGCGGGCGCGGTCGGGCGAGTGCGCGGTGGTGTGCAGGAAGTGAGCGTAGTTGACCCAGACTTCGGGGGACTTGTAGCCGAACTCCTTGACGATCTTCTCGAAGAGGTCATCGGCTTGCTGTTGTAGGGGAATTATGTTAGTGATTCTGTAACCATAAGGATTTTATTTTATTTTAGAGGGTGTGTACTTACTTTGCGCTTGCCAGATTGGATGTAGATACTGGCCAGACGCTCATGGACCTCCTGCTTGTCGTTGTATGTGCAAGCCCGCTTGAACACCTCGTCGACTGTCTCCTCATTGCCATAAGCAACCTCCAAGTTGAGATAGGCAATCCAGACGTTCAGCTTCTCGATCTCCTCCTTGATGTTGATCGTTTTGATGGCACGCTCAGCCACTTGTCTGGCAGCGGCCAGATCGCTCACCTGCATTTGGAAGGCCATGTAGGCGATCCAGAGCTGGGAGGAGTTAGGCTGACCAAGAAGTAGACGCTCGTAGTCGCTGGCGGTTTGAGGTCCATCGACATCGAGCGAGGCAGTCTTATCGACCGTTACCTGAGGCTCGCGGCGAGCCTTCTTCTTCTTGGCCAAGGCCTCAAGATCCGCCGCAGAGGCATCGGCCTTTTCGCCATCCTCCAGAGAAGCAGACCAGTCGAAGCCACCGGCCTCAAGACCCTTGACATCAGCGTCAACCATCTCGACATCGCTGGCCTCGTCCTCATCTTCGGACTCGTCCTCGACGTTGTCGGTACCAGTAATCTGGACGGCGTCGTCGGCGTCGCTCATATCCTCATCAGAGTCATCGCCCTCACTGTCCTCGGCATCCTCCTCATCAACGTCCATCTCATCCTCATCATCCTGCTCGCCGAAGTAGGATGGCTTCAAGCTAAGGTTGATTCTCTTGGCAGTTACGTCCACCTTCAGGACCTTGGCCTTGACCTTGTCACCTTCCTCATACAGCTTACGAGCATCCTTGACGGTCTTGTCAGACATCTCGCTGCGATGGCACAGGCCAGAGAGGTTGGCGGAGCCATCGATGTCGATGAAGGCACCAAACTCCTCGACCTTGCGGACGCGACCAGTAATGGTCTGGCCTTCCTTTAGGTCGGAGATGGTGGTGAGAGGAACGTAGTCCTTGTCGACAACAGAGGGCTTCAAGCTCATCTCGATACGGCCGTTGGCAACAGAGATGATGCGCCCCTTGACGAGCTGATCAACCTGAAACTGCTCCTTCCAGTACTTGAGGTAAGCATCGGAAAGATTCTTGATCTGGACGAAGGCGGTGACATTGCCACCGAGAGTGACGAAGAGACCCTTGTCAGAGACGTTCTTGACGAAACCACGGATAATGTCGCCAACTTCGAGCTTGGTGTTCTGAGTGATCTCCTTATCCTTGACCGGAAGCGAAGAGTTGAGGATGCGAGAAGGTCTAGTAGACAGACGTATCCTCTTGTTGCTCTTGTCAACTTCGACGACAGCAACACGGACGATCTCGTTCTTGGCAAACTTGGCAGGGTTGGCCTCTTCGTAGTCATCGACAAGGTCAATCTTATGAACGGGACCAGCCAGGCTCTCGCTAAGCTTGACAATGACCTGACGTTCGTCCACCTTGGTAACCTTGCCGACAAGGATGACATCCTGCGCGATCTTGTCCCAAGTCAACTCGTCCTCGGAACCAGGAGATCTGGCAGAGAGATCGAGGCGCTTGGATTCGGCATCCACAGAGACGACGCGGACACGGAGGGCCGAGCCAATAGGGAAGTTCTTTGCAAGGTTGGTCAATAAAGAGACATCGTCAGAGGCCTCCATGGCATTAACTCTGCCGCGAACAGTGGGGGAAAGGTTGACCCAAAGGTGGCCTTGGCCAACATTGTTGACGAAGCCCACGTAGCTAGAACCAACCTTGAGGTTGTCGAAAGACAGCGGCTCGGAAGAGGCGCCCTCCTTGACATCGCTGGGCTTCGCGGACAGTTCGAGGACGGAGTGGCTGGATCGGTGGGAAATGGGCAGGAAGCGGTGGTTGCGAGCGTCATGGACGCCCAACACGCGGACAGGGACGACCTGATTGGGCTGGAATTTCTTCAACGGCTTCTTGGTATCCTTGATCTGCTCCCAGCTGTCGTACACCTGAGAAACATCAATACGACCCTGAATGTTATCAGCGAGCTGAACGTTGAGCTGGGTGTCCTTAACGGACACAATGCGAGCCTTGGTCAGCTTGCCAATGGAAATATCATCCAAAGTGGTGATGGATTCATCCACGGGGTTAGCGACCTTCTCGCCCTTGGTCTCGACCTTCTTAACCTGCTCCGCAGCACCGGGGATAGCAACAACCAGGCGATTAAGCTCGGTGTTAACCGAAGTGATCTTGACAGTAACAGACTGAGACTTGAACATGCCAAAGTCGGGTTTGTCCTGCTCCTCGCGGGGAATCATAGACTTGGGAAGCAAGGCGGTCAACTTGCCACCGAACTGGACAAAGACAGCCGTAGCAGTGATGTTGCGAACATAACCAGAAACCTCATCTCCGACGCGAGCACCATCAAGGGTAGTAAGGAACTTGCCTTCCTTGCTAGCCTTGACAAGGCTGGGCTTCTGGGAGAGAATGATGGAACGGCGAGCCTCGTTCTTTTCCAAGATCACCAACTCGGCAAGAGTCTGGTTGACGTGAATTTTCTTGAGGGCAGACTGAGTCTTGCTGACCGACTTGTCCGTCAAGTGAGCGACGGGGAGGATGGCCTTGAGAGAGCTATCGGCAAGCTCAACAAAAACATCGTCGTCAGTTTTCTGCGTGACCTTAGCCGACACCACATCACCGATCTGAAGCTTCTTGAGGGCCAACTGCTTCTCAAGACCAAAGGCAGATGGGTCCTTGCAAGAAACAATAAGCTTGGCGGCATCGGGGTCGAAGCTGATGACGTAGATGCTGACAGTCTGGCCAACGCGGAAGTGCTCCTTGGGGTCCTGAATGTAGGCCTCGCTCATCTCAGAGACTGGCAAGAAACCACGGAGCCTGCCATAGAACTGCACAATCGCACCGTGCTGCAAGACGTTGATGATGGTACCGAGCGCCTGTTGGCCAACAGCAATTTGCTCATACGATTGGATGGCAGGAAGATCGGAATTGACGAGCGTCTTCTTGAGAGTAAGGCGGATCTGGCGAGAGGCAGCATCAGTCGAGAGCACACGCGCCTTCACCTTCAGGCCTTCCCTGAACTTCTTCTCGGGGTTTTGAAGGTGAACGTCAGCGAAGTGCATCTCGGGGACCAAGCCAGAGATACCGTCAGCAATCTTGACAATAAGGCCACCAACACCGGCGGCGTTGACCACCATCTTTTCAACCACACCAGAGACAACAGCACCGACAGGAATGTCCTCGATGCGAAGGAATGGCTGCTCGAGAACACTCTTCTCCAAGGAAATGAGATACATGCCATCAAAGGCGTTGTAGCCGACAACCCTACCAGCGTGAACAGATCCCACCTTATAGGGTCCGCTGTTCTCGAAGAGGGCATCAACCTTGCCATCCTTGACGCGGGAGATGTGCACAAACCCAGACACGCCCTCGACACCGACATCGACGTAAAGACCGATCTCAGGCTCGACCTGCTTAACGGTGCACTTCTCCACGATCGTCGAGTGAGGGAGAGCCTGTAATGGCACAACTGGTTGGTCGTCCTTGGAAGCAGTCTTTGGCTTCAACGAGGTAACGTGTTTTAGTACAGAGATACCCAGCTTGGGGTGCTTTGCAGTAGGGAAGTTGCAGATGACTCTGGCCTTCAGACGAGAGCCGACCTTGTATGTGTCTTCAAGATCGATGCCATCCGGACCAGCGCCAGAGTGAACCAGATCAGCGGTGACATCCAGCGATCCCATAATCTTGCCAACAATGCCGTGGCTGGAAACCTCGGACACGAGCACGTCGGCGGCAGTACCGGGGAGGAATGTGTCGATGGTGGTAGCAGTCGAAGGGACGTTCTCAACATTGCCCATGGTTTCACCCAATGTGGACAACTGAACGACCTTGCCCTTGGCGTTCTTGGTGACGATACAGAGGAGGACGGCACCTGGCTGCAGAGCCTCCTGGGGGATGCTCTTGTCGACCTGCTTGCGAGCAAGGAAACCTTGCAACTTCGAATCGGCGATCTCGATGTCCATGACATAACCGTGGTCCTCCACACTGGCAATGGCGGCCATGACTGTGCTGTTCACAACAACGTCTTGCTCCGCCATACCGGTGTTGGCGAGAGAAGGTTGAAGGGAGAGTTCGATGTGGCGCTTGGCCTTTCCAGGGGTGTGTGTAGAAGCCTCGTCGACCGTGGATACAACGTAGGCGCGGACATACTGGCCGATCTGGAAGAGGGATTCGAGGTCAACGTCGTTGTCGTTCTCGTCTTCTGACTCTTCGGCATCGTCGTTACCGGCGCTGGCCTCCAAGCGTTTTGTTAGGGGGGCGGAAATCGCAGTGATGGGGACATGGCCGATAATATTGTTGGGTAGAGCAACGGCGATGTCGAGAGAGTTGATGGCGCAGACGGAACCAAGGACCAAGGAGCCCTTTACCAGACGCTGCGGACAGTTAGTACTTGGATGATGGGATTGAACCCATGAGTGTTCCGGCGCATACCTTGAAGTTGAGACTTTCAACCTTGACGGCGTCCGCATCGGGCTTCGCGGGTGTGTCGTCGGACTTTGACCTCTTCTTGGACTTCTTCTGCTTGCCCTCCTTCTCACCAGCCTTCTTGGCGGTGGCCTTGCTGGATTGCTCCTCGAACAGGGCGTCGTTCTTGGCCTGGACTTGGATTTGCTTGTATTCGAGAGGCGTCAGGACGCTGGCGCCGCCTCTGGGGAACATTGGCTCCTCTTCCTTGAGCAGCGTAGATTTAGCCGGGGCGGTAGGAGCAGGAGGAGCGGGCTTGTCGGACTTGGGAGCCGGCTTGTTGCCCTGCTTGCCCGTCTTTGCGCCCGCCTTGCTGCCGGCATCGTTGGACTTTGGTCTCTTTGACGGTCGCGATTCGGAGGCTGATTGTGTTGATTTGTTGACTGGGGCGCCGCCCGGGCCTTCCTTGCGCTTTTGCGCACCCATTGTAGAATGATGGGTATAAAGAAAGGACCTGAGGATGGACGGATGTGTTAAGAGTTGCAATTGGAGAGATACCCGCACTGGATCCCTCGTCCCTTTGCCCGCCTTCAACACTTCAGAATGAATCGACAAGCACTGACAAAAACTGACCCAGGCCGCTTCCACTGTCCGCTGCCGAAAATTTTTGGTGGGTCCGTCGCCGTTCACCGTGGCCAGATAACGATAAGGAATGCGGTGAGCATCGGCTGCGATTCTGCCATCTCTACGCGGGCCGCGTGCATGTCGGTTCGTTGGGGGGGGGGGGGGGGGT